AAGATACATCCCTAAAACCAAATATAGGACAATATAGTTTATATGCAAAAGAAAATGAAAATAGATTAAGTTATTTTGCAATAACTAACAGTTTAGCTATCAGTAGCACGTTATTTCCACATAGAAATATCCATAAAGTAACATGGCAATCCCCTAATGGAGAAACGAAAAATCAAATCGATCATGTCTTGATTAATGCCAGACATGTAAAGGATATAATTGATGTTAAAGGCTGCAGAGGAGCAGATTGTGATAGTGATCACTTTACGGTTAAAATAAAATTCAGACCCAGAATTACTACAACATGGAGGAGCCCAGGACAGAAAATACAAAAGTCTGATGTTGGAAAACTCAGCACTTTAGGTACATCACTTAGATTTCGAGAGGAGATAAGGAAACAAATTGAAGATGGACCATCAAAATCAGTTAATATAGAGGAGGAATGGGGGCGGATTAAGGGTCGCATACAAACAACAGCTATGGAGGTAATTGGATAAAGAACTATAATAGCACATAAAGATTGGTTTGATCAAGAATGTGAAGAAGCTATAGATGAACGAAATGAAGGTAAAAAGAAAATGTTAAATAGAAAAACAAGAATAGCAACAGAGAAATATAAAAAAGCTTGCAGAGATGCAAATAAAACCTGTAGAAAGAAAGAGAAGGAATATGAAGAGGAGAAATTAGAGGAAATGCAAACTTTTAAAGTGAGAAGTGAAAGTAGACAATTTTATCAAAAGGTTCGTAGATTCAAAGTGGGGTATCAACCATGAACCATGATACGTAAACATAGGGGAGGAAATTTGATAGGTGGAGAAGAGAAAGTGATGAACAGATGGTCTCAGTATTTTAAAGAACTTTTAAATAAACCAAGTTATACTGCTGATGATGAAAATGTTATTGAATTTTATGGCCCAGAAAATAATGTCCAGAAACCGTCGAGAGAACCATGGTTTAGGAGATTATCGAAAGGCTTAAGATGAATAAGGCTCCTGGAAAGGATGGCATAGTGGCCAAACTCTTAAGACATGGAGGCAGGATACTTTGGGACAAAATTTATAAACTAATTGTAATGATATGGGAAAAAGAGGAAATGCCAGTTGATTGGCAAACTGCCATTATCTGCCCTATTTATAAAAAGGGAGATAAACTGCAATGTGAGAACTACAGAGGAATTGCCTTACTAAATGTGACCTACAAAATTAGCCAGATATTTAGGAAGTTACACAGAAGAAATTTCAGGTGATTACCAAAGCTAACTAACCAACTAGATGGCTTACCGAACCCGAAGGTTCATCACTGAATTAACCAAAGCCCTCCACCGGACCCTGTCCTGGGCCAACAGAATCCAGTCTCCTTCGACTCCTATCTCCCATAGATTCCGCCTGAGATTATCCTCCCATCTACGTCTAGGTCTTCCCAGCAGTCTCTTCCCCTCAGGATTCCCAACCAGTACCCAGTGCACACCTCTTGTCCCATCCATGCGCGCTACATGCCCCACCCATCTCATTCTTCTCGACTTAATCACCCTCACAATACTGGGGGAGCAGTACAGATTTTTAAGCTCATCATTATGCAGTTTTCTCCACGCCCCATCATCTTCCCTCTTAGGCCCAAATATCCTCCTCAACACTCTATTCTCAAACACCTGCAATCTGTGTTCCTCCCTCTGAGTGAGAGACCATGTTTCGCACCCATACAAAACAACAGGCAAGATTATTGTTTTGTACACTTTAATTTTCAGGTTCTTAGAAATCAGACGGGAAGACAAAATATTTTGAACTGAGAAGTAGCAAGCATTTCCAGAATTTAATCTCCTCCTAACAGGAAAATCTCTGTTGACTCTGAAGAATACAGAGAATGTAATGAATTTAGGTTCAATAGTTACATAGGATAATGATTGTAGTAAATACATAAGAGCCAGAAGCTTTATCTAAAGTGATAAAAACAAGATATCTATCAAAGTAAACTAAATTGCAGCTTTATAATACAATAATTAAACCAATAGTGATGTATGGTTGTGAAGTATGGGCCATGACTGAGCAAATGTAGCAAAAATTAAAACGATGGGAAAGGAAAATCATGAGGAAGATTTATGACGCTATTAAAGATCAAAATGGATGGAGAATCCGCAGTCATTTGAAAATTGAGAAATTGTACAACAAACCAAATATTGTAACTTTAATAAAAGTCAGAAGACTTGAATGGGCAGGTCACTCAATTAGAATGGAGAACACCAAGACTGAGAAGAAAATTTTTATGGGAAAACCAGGTGGGAAAAGAGATAGAGGGCGGCCCAGGATGAGATGGTTGGATTGTGTCGAGAAGGATTTGGAGGAGTTAGGAGTACGGAGATGGAGGAAGATAGCTGAAGATAGGGCTGAATGGGCTATCACATTGAAGGAGGCACTGGCTAAACTTTAAGAGCTGTATGCCCAAGAAGAATTAGAAGATGAACATTGTTTACAACATCAAAACGCTGAATATTAGAGAGTAATTCATCATGAAGACAACACAATAGAGAATTTTGTAATAATTTCTGCTCTAAAAAGTAAACGTAAAGCAGTCCCACTATGCGCCATGATGACCTTGGCACTAGATGGGGTTAAGTGGTCAGCATTTGACAGCACCATTTCTGCTCTACGTTTGATTATTTGACAAAATTTTGCAAAAACACATTTGACGGAATTCCCCCGTCATAAAGAGAAATTCTGCCACGTGCCTGGGGTAACACTACCTTAAACAAAACCCAAGACAAAGCTGACGCTTTTACTTAACAGGTGCATATATTTATTCACCGTATTTTGTATGGTAATTCTAAGTATTTTAATGTGTAAGTACAAAACATAACCACAAAATACACGTGACTAGGAACTTGCATTTATTTCGTACAGAGAAAAAAATATGGCTGCTCTGATAATATGGAGAACTCACAGCATGTTTCCCAGACAAAATCACCTACAGAAACTGTTAATTTATCATAACAGGAGCTGAAAGGAGACTTCATACCGTCACAATGCCTGGTACCTGGCCAATGCAGCACCAGAAAATGCACATCAGCGGTGGTTAACATAAAGCATTATTTGTTCCCGCCTGAACCCAGAATGTAACAAGACTGCAGTTTCAGAAGAATAGACATATATATTTGTACTTTCAAATGTTATCAGTTGCATTAAGAATAACGAACGCTCAGTTACACTTACCGTGCAATCTGCTAACTTCAAAACATAATAGATATGCGCCTACAACGAAGTTTTACTTCACAATAAACGCACAACACCCAACACATCCGCCATAACAGCTCTGGACTGTTTGTTTGCTCTCACCACAGATGCCAGAAGTAACAGAGCGCGCTCAATTCAAATCGTTTGAAAGACAATTACAATGACGCCATTGCCTCAAGCGGCGAGATTCCTACCACTTCCTCTAACACTTCAGAAATCTTCCACGGAGAAACGACGAGGCCCTGTAAGAGGCATGTCCGAATGTACCTTTCATACACAGGCATATTTACAAGAAATCATATAATTCGCACAATAAACACAGTGTTTATTATAATCAAGGAAGCGCCCCCACCTCAAATGGCTTTCTCCTTGGCCAATTGCCAAATTCCTGACCGTAGGACTCAAAAGCAATGTGTTTAAATATTTCCATATATAGGCTAATGTGTATACACTGTTTAATTATATTATAGAAATTTACAAGTTGCTGTAAAGATCGGCCAGTTCACACGCTGCGAAGTCGCAACGGTATCCAGTTCAGGGCCGACTGGATCCCTTGTAGACTCTGGCGCAAACCTGGAGGAATACGTTGACGTAACACGGCTAACACTTTTAGCGTTATTCTCCTTTAACGCCATATTTTCAGCGACCCTTTTGGCCCAATTAGTCTTGGATTAGTATTACTTTTTAAGAAGGATGCGGCTTCAAGGATGGGCAAAAAAAAGCTAAGGTGACGTGTGTAAGAGAAAGGAAACAAACACTGGGCAAAACAACGACGGGGCTGAAAGTACTAAGAGCTACTACAGGGATCATGATACGAAAGGCATTCCCACCCTAAATTTTAACGAGATGTTTACAATAGGAGAAAATACATAATTAAGAGATAGATGTGTGCAGATGACTTCAGAGTTAGCCGCCAGCATCCTTCAGCCGAAGTAACTTCAACGGCAAAAAGTACCGAAGATATTCAGATCGAAACAAGAGGTAAATTTTTGTTACCTACGGATCTCAGAGTCTTGCGTAAGATGTCAAAAACTGGAAGCTCCTAAGATGAAAATCAAAAATCTTCCAGGAGTGGACACTTTAACACACAATGTACTACAAATGAACCAGTACCTACGTAGACACGCTCGATATGAACTGCTAAGTAAGAAGATACAAGTTAGAAGCCAGCTACTGAAACAGGTGGCCAGCACAGATACCAGTACTCAGGAGAACTGGGTGTATAAGAAATATCTGCACCTAATGGACTGTATTGGAAAGAAATTACCTGTATGTAAATTCAGAAAATATGGTAGGAGCACAAAACTTTTGTAAAGAAGGAAAGAGCATCATAACAATGAACTGTAGAATTAAGATTTATTTTGTTGTAAATAACGAAAAAAATGGAGTAAAATTGTAGAAAATTTAATTGTCAAGGAAAGTGAGGACACTTTCCATTTTAAAAATGGGGAAATTGTAGTGAATTAATTTTAGTTAATATATTGTAAATTAGGAATGTAGAGAATTGAATGCAGAAGTAAGCTTTGCATGTAGGAATGTGTTAATTCATTTCCTGGCATAGAGTAAAGCAGCAAGGCTAGTTCACCTTATTCTCAGGGAATAGTAAAAAACATTAAACGGAAATGGAGACGTAGCCATTAGGCAGTCAGCGGAAATATGGAAAAAACGCCAACGGAAAGGTGGTAAACGGAAGTTGAAGAGAGGTCGGAGACAGAAGGGCCGAAACTTCAAAGATAGCAGGAGGTTATGAGAGTCATTATGAGCAAGGTGCAGCTGATCGGGCTACTTGAAACAGGTAAGCGCTGAGGAGATGAACCCAAGTATAGTACGGGTGGATTAATAAATATTCAAAATTACATAACTAGAGTGAATTAAGAAGGTAATGTTTTAAATCAAATGTGAAATTTATGTAGAACTTAGTGTTAGAAATAAATGTGATAGTCTTATGAAACAAGTTGTAGACTCATGGACGTATTCAATTCAATTCAATTAATTTATTTACATGTTTGCCAACAGCAAGAAGCCAATAACAGGCAAACACAGATAATACATACAATAATAATGAAATAATAATGGATAATAGTAAACAAATGGATTAACTAAACTTATACATGTACAGTATTAAATGTAACTGCCAAGTACAGGCAAACCCAAAATAGAAACAATATTAACACAGAGCAAAAAATGAAGAAATATAAATAAAAACAAATAATCCACCTAGGGAACACTAATATAATTGTAAAACTGTAACATAACTTAACTTAACCTAACATTACCTTACCTAACCTAACCTAAATCTAACCCAACCCAACCCAACCCAACCCAACCCAACCCAACCCAACCTAACGTAACCTAACCTAACCTAACCTGAACTGAGGAGAGTATTGGACAGGTAATACGAGTAGAATATCCAGACTTATTTCATATTAAACCTGCGTGTAACGTTTAACACATTGCCGACATCTTGTCTGGCATTGTATAGAATGCCTAAGTTAACTTGCAAGCTAAAACTAATTCCACAATTTACCTTGCGATGTTTGGAATTTTATATACTTCTTTGATTTTATACAATACTGGATTAGACACTTTGCCTTGTAACTTATATGTAATCCTATGTGCTTATATCGCTCGATATCTGCCTGATCGAGTATCGATTTTACACGTAATATTCCATCTACTTACCTCTGATGAAGTCAAAACTTTGTGAATTGTAGTAATATTAGCTCCATGATCTGGATCTCACGTTAATATGTAAACACCCTCTCTAGGCTATCTTAATTATCATCCTATTAAAATGGAAATTCTACTCTGTGTTCTGTCTGAGTTACGTATTCCACCTTCACTACTGTCAGGGTGATTAAGGAGGTGTGTCACAGCCAACCGATTCTATTGTACTTTGACGCTCTGGTTTGTAATTCGAATTTACCAATTTTGAATATCACTGAACTACCATTTACCCTGATTGAGACCTATAATTAATTACTTATGTCTTCAGGCGAATAATAACATACTACCATAAAATACGTCATGTACGTTCCCTTACCAATTTTAACCTGCTCATAATTTATGTAAATATTTTAATAACATTCGATGCTAAACTTAAAAACGTTGAATAAGGTAAGAATTTTTGACAACATAACTTCACAATTAAATCTTTTGTTGATAATATTATATCAGTATAAAGAGAGAAACCATTATTAGAAAATAACATTTTTTTCTGTTGTATTGGACAAAATTAAGTTATAAATGGTTATGCAGAATACAGTTTATAAATATTTTTAGATCTATCATATTAACTGAGCATGTTTAAGCTGACACCAGCATCCTTGGGAACTTGCCTCGCTGCATGCCAAGCCACACTACCACATTAGTAACACTAAACCCAAACGAATCTATCCAAAGTAGAACGTTACAATACTAATGTTACAAATAAATGATGCAATAACAGACCTGATGATGGTTATGTAATAGCCGAAATACGTAGCCCCTAAGAAGGCATACATTGAAAGGGTAGCAAAAAGTGCGCTTAATGACGCTGCATCAAATAAAGTGACAGCACGGAAGGATTCTGTCCTACAGAACTCGATCCTCTTTCCCACGTTTTAAACAGCAACCGCAAAACACGCAACGAAGCAACTGAGATGGGCCCTAATTGTCTTCTGCTCAAATATAGCATCTATAATCTCAGAATAAAATAGATTTATATAATAGATGGCCCAAGGCATAAATTTTCTGTTCTTGCGAAGACATTTGAGGAACTGAGGGTACAAACCCGAAAACTGTCCAATGTAAGTCCCACAGAAGATCCCCAGTCCTCTTCCTGACGCGTATCGAATTATCTGACCTATGAAGTGTTTTCGGGCGATGAACATTGTCAAATATTGTTATAACTTGTCGAGGCCGACACTCGGATAGTTTTACATAGGTTTGAAACTGGGGGTTTGTTCGCAAACAGTCTGAGGATAAATATGACGATTTGCCCCTAATCTGGCAGGTGATTATTCTCTGAAGCCAGTGAGAAAATATGCGAAGGTCGGAACAACGGGGAAAGTGGCCGGATATCGATTTCTGGTAGGGGCGGTTCCTTTAGCTCTGAAACTAAACAGAATAGAAGAACGGCGCCAAGGTCAAAGTTGTTTGCCTTGAAGAGGAGATTACAGAACGAAAGGCCACAACACCGACAAACCATCTGTGGTTTGATACCTGACAGGGCTGATCTCTCTAGCTTGGAACACAAGGAAGATGAGTGCAAATGTGAAACTTGAGCATGCGGTTTGGAATGCGGACAGATCCCAACTTGGATTAATTGATGTGTCATCTGTGAGTAGGTATGACCACACCAGACAGGGATTGCACCTGAATTCAAGGGGTATTGCTTGTGCAACTCATTGCCAATGAGATTAGGTACAAACCAAATACTGGTAAGATTCCTGTAATCACTGGTATAAGACCTAAGTCTTTTTTAGGTTAAGGCCAAAATGTATCGCTAAATTCCTGAAATATATCTAAGTCACTGTAGATAAGCCAGTTCTAAATTTAGGTCACAATCAAAATAAAAATTGAAGAATTGATAATTTCTCTTAAAAATGCTCAATCATCACATATTCTTTGTCTAACTGAACATCATTTGAAAGCACCAGATATCTTACAGGTAAATTTAGACAATTACTCACTAGCGAGTAACTTTTGCAGGACAAATTTAGCTGGAGGAGGAGCGAGTATATTTGTTAAAAATAATCTAAAATTTAGCCAGATAGAGCTAGTGCAATTTTGCAAGGAGCAGGACATAGAATGCTGTACTGTACAATTTGATACAATTTTTTCTAAATTATAGTTTTAGCAATATACTGAGCACCAACAGGTGACGGAAATTTTAGTACCGACTCCACAGCCCTGGCTGTGACGAAGGAAATTTTTCAGTGTACCAGTGCCACAGAGCTCAGTTACACCTTCAAAGTAACAGACAACATTTTCAGAAACCTGTTAAGGTATTTTTAAGAACAAAATTGAATGTGCTTCTAATAAGATGTTTTACTTGTCTCATTTGATTTACTGATGCTTCCAGTTCTCACTAATGAAGAGGTTGCAACCATATGTTTATAGTAACTTTCTTGCTTTGTTTTAGGAATAGAACACAATCATGTTTGATGCATACAATTATGAAGTACCTACTATGTGGCTATTTCTAATTGTGTGCATATATTATGCAAAACCCTGATCTAGAAAACATCCTATTGTTATATTTCAGAAGAATTACGTAATTGCTTTCTGTTACAATTACTTTTTCCTACATTCGTATATTTTTATAACAATGCCTCCAGGGGGGTTGGTTGTGTTTTAAAATCTTGTGTAAGAAACTAAACTAACCCCCCCTAAAACACTTGCTTGTCAATGCAAATGGTAATAAAAACTTTCTTAAGAACATCATAACAGGAGATGAGACGTGGGGTTATGGCTATGATGTTGAAACCAAGATGCAATCGTTGCAGTGGGTGGGAAACGGGTCTCATCGACCAGAAAAAGCAGGGATGAGTCGGTCAAATGTCAAGGTGATGTTGGTTGTGTTTTTTGATTGGAAAGGCATTGTCCATCATGAATTTGTACCACATGGTCAGATGGTAAACAAGTTCTATCAGGAAATTTTAGCGCGTTTGAGGGATGCCGTGCGCAGGAAGAGGCATGAATTGTGGGAAAACCAGACTTGGATATTGCACCACGCCAATGCGCCGGCTCACGGGTCGCTCCTCATCCGCAGTTATCTGGTAAAACATCAGACAACAGTTGTGCCCCATCCACCCTATTCTCTGGACTTAGCCCCAGCAGACTTTTTCCTGTTTCCCAAACTTAAAAGCACTTTGAAATGATGTCGTTTCCAAACCACAGACGAGATTCAGGAAAATGCGATAAGAGAATTGCGCGCCATCACTGAAAGTGTGTTCCAGGAAGCATTCCAACAATGGAACAAACGTTGGGAACGGTGTATCGCCAGTAGAGGGGACTACTTTGAAGGGGACAGAGCTTAAAATGTTGTAAAATTAGCAATAAAGTCTTTATAGCAAAATTTTTGGGTTTTTTTAACACACCTCATATACAAATTCAGCCTCTACAGTCCAAAATCACATCTTCATTACAAAATTAATTGGGTATTAATAATGTTACGGAAATAAACACTGTTTACTATGAGAATCATACAAAACATAAATACAGTGTGGGAGTAAAATGCAGTCACTTAATATGGTTTCCACTAGCTGTTAAAGGGTTAATGAGCCCTAAAATTGTCATGTACAATTTTTTTTGTGGTGAAACATTTTTAGATCATTTATAAAATTCTGTTTGAACTTCATGCAAAGTTGGGATTATATTAGATGAACAGAAACCCAAATTGCATTTGTCTGAAAAAATTTAATATCGACCTCTCTCCCATATATTAATATCCATAGAGTATTTCACCAATGAAATGTGGATGATCAGATAGCTGTTTCCTCATATTAACAGTAATATCATTAATAGTTCTGTAGTCACATGAAAAATATTATCCTCAAGAAAATCCCAGTACCGCAACATAATAAGCATACTGACCATAAGGCCCACAGACAAGATACACAGACCACAAAGAACTGTGTTTAGTTCCAGCTGTGAGACCAAACAACTTCCATATCAAGTTGTATGAGTCTGCCAGGTTAGATTATACAATTACAAAAAAGTTACAACACAGTACATTTAGCATGTGGCTCCTTCATCTTGTGTTTCTTAAGACAAGAAATTTTTTCCCATCTAAATCCCCTTGCATCATATTTTCCCTTCCCTGTAAGTAAAATGGGGTTATTGATGTAGCATTCAAGTGTGTCTATTCCTGTCTTTCTTCTTTCAACCAACTGCCTTATTTCCATTAAACATACAACGAACACATTGCCTTTGCAAGTTACACTTCAAAATGTACCAGCACAGCAGTCATGAACACTATGGAAATGCATAAATGAGGATTTAGCCTGTACGAAAATAATATAAATTATACCATCATAGTCTATGCGAAGAATTTTGGGAAATATGAATATAAATTTTTATGCAAATGGGAAAACAATATCATAAAAGATGGAAGTGTTAGTTCAGGGTACAAGAGAAGAATGATAGATGCTCATAGAACTATTAAATGGTGTTCAACTCCATGTACCACTGCATCTCAGCACGTGAAATTCAGTATGGTAATAAGTCGTGGCAGAAGGCCTTAATTAACACTTTGAGTGCTGATACTTACATAGAAGCATACTTATTTGCATGCTACCAGAGCACAGTGGGATAGATTGCGATTCTAGCTGGAAAAAAATCGAAATATGATTTTTTTTAATCTGAATATTGAAAACGAAAATTCTGACAGCAAAAAGTGTGATACATTAGTTTATAATAAACATTAAGTAGTTTTATGTGTAAAAATGGAGAAATATGTCTCTAAATATGGGAAAATAATGCATGCAAGTTAAGTTAGTAGAAACAAATATCACTACACTACAAATATACAAACAGTATAAATGCTAGTCTGCTTTCGAATACACAACATATAAATATTTAACTCAGAGCATTATCATGTTAGTATTCTTCATCGAAAGAGACATCCGAAGCATTCGAAGAGCTGTATCCTTCCTCGTCCTCATGTTGTTGCTTATCAGTATCAATATCCGGTTCCTTCAATAATCTGAATACTTCAAAAGGTAAATGTGGCTTCCTTGCTATCGAGGGCTGTTTAATCTGCAATATTAAAGGATCATAAGAAACTAGTAACATGTGCAGGACATCTACATTTCCTGGCATGATCGCGTCTGTATCTTCGCACATCTTTGTGCGTGGCCTCCTGGGCATCTTCAGATAATCCGATTGGCAGAATGGCAGATTCTATAATTTTTCCACCGTGAATCAGTATCTTGTGGACAATTGCAGGCATGTAGTACCATGGATATAAATTAACATATAAATTTGCTGTTTCTATGGCATATTTATCAAATGCCTCAACATTTACTGTGTATCCACAGGACAAGGCGCATAAAATTATAGAAAATCAGCAAATAATATCTTCATTAATTCCAGTAATATTCGCCGATACTTCAGGATTTTCAAAGAATCATCATTCGAAGTTCCAGAACCTCCCGATCTCGCTTGATCTACTAAAAGACCTAGTTGTGATCTGATTTCGAATGTTTCTTTATCTTTTGCCCTAACTTGGTATTTTTTTATTGGTAGCCTGTATGCAATGTGCAAAAGACATTCAAAAAATCGTATATAGGCGTGGAGAGTTGACAACCCAAACCGGTAGGAGGGGTCCAAACAAACAGTGGAAAGATTTAAATAGTTCATGTCCTTCAGAACAGCTCCACATACATAGCACTTCTGTGATGAATGTTCTGTTAATGAACTGCATACCTTTCAGTCAACCACATAAAATAACATAACATAATAAAATATGCTGCAATTATTTCCTCATACAATTCTCTTAGTTTATACATTGTATATTTCACTTGTTATTACATAACCTCATTCTTGTGAAGTTTCCATTTCTGTAGGTTCCCTATTCTCATACTCCACAGCTGTCCATAACTCCAGCTAACTTCCTTCAAATACCTTCTGTCCTTGCTTTAAACAACATTATTCATACCTGCATAAAAGATGAGTCCAAGAAACATGCCAAAGGCTCTAATGACTGTAATGCCATCCATACTTGATGCTGCTATAACTAAAGTTGCAATTCCTTTGTCTTCACCATAACCCTTTCATTGAAGTGCAAGCAGTGAGGGTATCACCACAGCAGGGGACGATGCCACCAGTACACACCTAGAAACATATTTTATATACATAATTATGGTACAACATTTCATTACACATCCAAGGAGTTAAGATCTAGATTTGTGTTTTCATAATAAACAAATGTATCTGCGCTTTCAGATATGTAACATATGGTTTTCTTTAATAAATATGCAGAAATAGAACAGAATTTATTTACATTCCACAGATCGAGACTTTTTGGGCGACATAAATTCTTCTACTGAGTAGGAGTGAGATAGGAGATACTCTTTTAACACTGGCTTAAACTTTTTTATATGGTGGTTTAAACTCTTTATAGTAGGTGGAAGATTATTGAATAACTTGACTATTATAAATACAAGTAACAATGGTGATGGTTTCTCATCATAATTATTTTGCTGTAATACTTTAGTTCCAAAAACCTGTCAATAGCTGTTATAACTATGTATTTATATTTGTACAATAAACAAGTATTGTATATGTGCTATGACCTCTTCTACATTCTTGTCTTGGGCCTATAAAGGATCTACTTCCTCGATTATTTTATCATCATACCTATTATAAATACAAGTAACAATGGTGATGGTTTCTCATCATAATTATTTTGCTGTAATACTTTAGTTCCAAAAACCTGTCAATAGCTGTTATAACTATGTATTTATATTTGTACAATAAACAAGTATTGTATATGTGCTATGACCTCTTCTACATTCTTGTCTTGGGCCTATAAAGGATCTACTTCCTCGATTATTTTATCATCATACCCTATATTTAGATTCGCACAAGTTCTGTTTTTGTTAGTACGAAAATTTCATGAAATTTGTTTTGTCAAAATTTGATGGGTTCTATAGGCTTTAATCCATTTGTTCAATCTAGCAACGACATCATTTATGCAATTCTGAAAATAACTAGAGGAACTGCTTAATAGATCATAATCAGGGGGCTAAAAGAAGACTTTATGCCGTCACACTTCCTGGTATCTGGCCAATGCACCAGAAAATGCCGTGGTTAAAATAACGCATTATTTATTCTCGCCTGAACCCAGTATGTTATAAGACTGCAGATTCAGAAAGATAGATAAGACATATTTGTACTTTCACATGTTATCATTTGTATTAAGTATAAAGAACACCAAGTTACACTTACCGTGCAATCTGTTAACTTTAAAACTTAGAAGAGACATGCACACAAACAACAACAAATTAGGCGGCCATAACAGCTCTAGACTATTTCTATGGCGTCACCAGAGATGTCGGTTCGAACAGAGCGCGCTCAATTCAAATCGTTTGGAAAATAATTAATGTGGCTGCATTATCTCAGGCGGCGCGATTCCCCCCACTTCCTCTAATGCACCTGAAATCTTCTACGGGGAAACTACGAGACCCTGTAACAGGCATGTCCGAATGTACCTTTAATACACAGTGTTTGTTACACTCAAGGAGGTGCCTACACCTCAAATGGCTTTCTCCTTGGCGATAGATTTCCAAAAGTTCTCTTAAATATATGTACTGCAAGTTACAATATTATTGGGCATTGCTTTTATTTTCGTCTTGCACATTAAATGGTGTTTTATTAGTCAGTCCTCAAACATACACAAGAAGATCAACTTAATTATTTAATACACAGAAACATATTTTGGTTATTATTGCCATTTTCAGGCTATACAAAAATATTATTATGAAACATTGTTGCAACTGCATGTGTCATCACTGGCCAATAAAGCCCAGGGCTTCCCCTTAAGAAGCCGGTGACTGACAGCCTGTATTCTGGCACAGTTGCCAGCTATAACACACTATGAACAGCCTACAAGATATGCAGCATATTTTAAAAGCTGGATGCTCTGTAACTAATAAAGTACATCATTTTCAGGTTGACCTTCTGACAGATCGAAAGCATGACCATACTTTGTAACAGGACCTGTACTCACCAAACCATTAACAACATGGATTCATGTGTAAGGACAACAGCTGCAAAGGCAAACAGTGGAAACTGATTGTATCATCCACTATGAACTGTGAAGAGTTGTTTCATAAACATTATTATTAGCATTAACAAGGTCATGTTATTGTTGCAGATTACATGAAATTCGGAGACCTGTCGAAACTCTTAAAAAAGCGAAAGACCCTTACAGAGGATGAAGGTCGATTTTACCTTGTGGAAATTCTTCTGGCCATCGAGAGTCTGCATGAGGTAAGCTCTGTCAGAGTGAACCCCTTGGATAAATTGCATGATAAAGCGGTATAAACCTAGTTATTTTCTTGATTAATTGAATGGCTACAGAATTTGTTAGTTTCTTTCAATACTTTATTTCTTCACTACACATCAGATTACATTTTAATTCCTGCAGGAATTGTCAGAAGTGAAAAAGGGTAATTATATGAGATTATGCAGGAGTGTCATCTGTCAACACAACAGCTTCGCCTCATGTCTTGTAATCTTTTCACCTGTGACTCCATGTTTCAGGTTATAAACCTGTCTTCAGGTCATCATGTACTTTTCCATATTGTTACACTGTTGTTAAGCACTGTGTTTCTAATTGTCTAAAATGGATAACGAGAAGTCTTTTAAAGTATATGTTATGCCTCTTCACTTTGGTTGAATGTAAAAACACGATACAAAATTAGAATTAGTGGCTAAAAATCAGCATTAAATTGGATAAAAGAGTTGTAATAAGTCTCTTCTGGGTGGTGTCCAACTTTAAGTTGTATGAGAGCTTCCATTTCTACATCACACTGGAAATGGCAGGTAACAGGAAGTGAACTTAGATGATTGTGTTCCTTAAATACAATTTTTTATTCTTTATTTTTTGTTTTGTCATAGTTGCCTGCTTAATGGTTAAAATTCTAATTAATGTAATCAATAGCATTCATAGGACAGCTTATAGTTATATGAAACACAAAACCAAATTAGTGGATGTGTATCTCACTGCCACAGTAAGATGGAAAAACAACAAACATGTCTCATCTTTCTTGACCACAGTGCAAGGAATTTATTTTGTTTCTTTCAGGAGGGAATCGCGCATCGTGACATAAAGTTGCTCGATTCTGATGGCCATATTGCACTTGCAGACTATGGGTTATGTAAGCAGTTCCAACCACATGAAGAGGTAAGTTTAATATCCATATTATCTGTTGTTGAATTTATCTGCAGGATCTTGTAGACTGGAAATGTAGGAGCTGTGTGGCCCACTGTCTGTTGTAGTGCACATTATTTCAAGGATGTCAAAGTCCCAGAACCATAAAAATATTAGGAAGATTTTAGGTGCCTGAAATTGGATCACACATGTTGAGACTTTTTGTTTTGTACCAGCATTTAACTGCAAAACTGTATTACCTATAAGTACTTCTTCTTCTTCTTATAGCGTTATAACCCTGTGTGGGTCTTAGCTTGTTCGATGAATTTTTTCCATTCTGTCCTATCATTCACAATTCTTCTCCATCCCCTTACTCCCATCGTCCTCACATCCTCCTCCACGTCGTCTATCCATCGTTTCCGTGGTCTCCCTCTCATCCTTCTTCCCATCGGTCTCCATTCCATCA